GGGGGGTGATGGGCGGTGTGGGTTTGGGGTGAAACTGAAGTATGGGGGGTGCTGTTTCTGAAAGGCCCTTGTGGGGGGGTGGTTTTTTGGGGCCACTTTGGGGGCCGTTTAATGAGGGGATAGTGGGGGGCTGTTTGGGGGTGACAGTGATACCGCTTGTAGGGGGGTAGCCCCCTAGGAACGGGGCAGGGAGAAGGGTCGGGATGGAGGAACCGCACCCGGGAAACGGCTGGAGGGAAGAGGGGTGAATAACCACGGGCAAGCTGCTCGCTCCCATCCCGGGACGTGAGGCCAACCGCGGCCCTGGTGTGTGGGCGTCGGGCGGGAACCAGCCCTAGTTAGGAAGCTGAGTTGACTTCTGCATCACCTGTGACACACGCCCTTCCTTCCGCCCCTCCCGGCCCTTGTGAGAACAGCGGGAAGCCCTTGGATTTGGCTAGTGGGAGTGGAAATCAGCGGGAGATTTGGGAATCCGCGGCCAGACGAGCCCCGTGTCTCACCAAACGCTTCCTGTCGTTCTAGGAGTGCCGGATTGCGCATCCCATCGTTAAATGCACTTACTGCAGGACTGAATTCCAACAGGAAAGGTAAAAACACCTGTTGAATGGTGCAGACTGAGCTTTTCTTTAGAACTAATACACCCAGGGATCTCCAGCAGCCCCTCACCTGAAACACCTGAGCCTTAACCCACACATTGTTGCTGTGGGAGACTTGGAAGACCTTTATCCTTCAGAAATGTGCTGGGAAAGTTGGTGTGACTGCGCGACATCCTTAGATTTGCACCTTTCACTTGACTTTCGCCTTTGGTTGGTGCTCAGCTACCTTCCTCAGAGAAGGAAACAGAGGCATCTCCCCCAGAGTTCTCTTTTATCTAATTTCTGCTATCCAGAGATTAACTTATTGTGTTTTCTGTGCGCCTGCCTTTTTGCAAGTTATATAACTTGCAGGGGAAGGGTTGGTGAGGCCTGTTGATGAGTACAGCGTGGGCAGGAGGTGTGAGGTGCTCGCTCATGTGCATGCTACGCAAATACTCCCCTGTTCTAACCTGTCGTTAGTTTGCAGTCCAGAGCAGGCTCCCTGCGGGACTGAGGTTGTCCCTGGTGCTGAATCACGTTCACCACCAATTAGCTGATGACCACACTCCTGCCTTTGTGAAGGCAAAAGAACTGGCATCCTCTGGGGACACCTTAATTAAAATATCCCTCCTAGTAATACTACTTTTTGGCAAATTATCCTCAACCAGATGGGGATAGGAAATGCATGTTGTTACCAGAGTTCCTGGGGCACATGGATACGATTTTACTGCTGGACATGAAGCCTAAGGGAGATTTTCTGTGGGGAAGTGTTAATAAAATGGTCTGTCCTTCTTCTTTACAGCAAAACCAACACAATATGCAAGAAGTGTGCTCAGAATGTGAAGCTCTACGGAACAGTAAGTGAGCAGGGCTTGTTCTCACCAGGCCCTTTCCTTTAATCCCTCTTGTCTTTATTCTAGTGAATCCCAAAGCAGTTTATGTGCTGGCTCTGCTGTAATAACATGACTGATCAATAATAAGCAGCTCCCTCAAGCGTTGAGCTTTTACTGTTCCTTTTTTTTTTTAGTACAGAAAAGAGCAGCTCTGCATCATTTTAGGCCAGGAAATGAACTATTCAATATC